ACCAGCTATCTGCATGGACAAGACCTTTATGCTGCTGATGGTTGCCCGGCAAGGTGTGGCCTTGCAATATGCAGGAAGCGAGCTGAGAGATGACGAGGAGCTGGTCCGAGCAGCGATGCGTACGTATCCGCCGGCCTTCCAGTATGCTTCGTCTGCGCTGAGAGGCAACCGTGAATTTGCCACGTATGCCGTGGGAGTGTCTCTACAAAATCTCTTTTACGTCTCCGAGGACTTGAGAGGTGACAGGAACTTCATTCTTTTCTGCCTCCCAACTTACTATACGGGTCAGCCTCAGGCAGTTCACATTACAACGATTCTCAAGAAGCTGCCTGAGACCTTTGCTTCAGATCGGGAAGTGGTGTTGCGGGTGCTGCAGGCTTTGCCGCACTGGCACCGCAGAGCGGAGCTGATGCGAGCCAGCAGAGATCTACACTGCGACGCCGAGCTCAAGGAGGTTGCTGGGCTTCAGCTTTCTCGGCCTGCCGTGCGAGGGTACACAGCCGTGGAGCCAGTGCAGCACCTACCCGCGCCACCTTTGACTGCAGAGAGTCGGAACGCACTCCAGTACTCGACGACTGCGGCGCAGAACAAGCAGTCTTTCTGGCGTGAGCTTCTTCACAAAGACCCAGCTGTTCTTGCATTTCTGGGCAAGGATGAGGCCGTCGACGAGAAGGACTTGGTGCTTGCAGCTGTGAAGAAGGACGGCCGCATGCTGGAATATGCCAGCGAGGAGCTGCGTACGGACGTTGACCTAGTCATGGCCGCCTTGGAGAATGATGCAGATGTGTACGACTTCCTGCCAGAAGCCATGCGCTGCAGGGAAGAAATTGCCTTGCTGGCCTTTCGGAAACATCGTATCAAGTTGCCGAAGCCTCTTCTGTCCAATCGTCACGTGGTAGTAGAAGCTGCTGCTATGCAAGACAAAGCCACGGAGGTAGAGAAGAGGCGGCTGCAGAAGCTTCCTTTGGCTCACCTTGTCGCGAAGTTCGAGCTGGCTTGAGATGTAGGCAGATGCTGAATTGTACAGTGCACGGCCGGCCTGCTTCAACAAAATGCTGCGACACCTACGGAAACTCGTCTTTTGCACCGGCATCCTGTGCTGTGAGTGTTCGCGCGATGTTCGAAAGGATCACGATCCCACGGATCCCAACGATCCGGTGAAGTTCCTCGTGGATACAGACACCCCTGCCTGGGAGTGCAGTAGACGACTTAAATGGTTTGATGTCGCTTCAAGTTGCCGCATGCAGACTGTGTGCAGGCATGCGAGATCATCGTTCACGGCACGGTCAGTCAAAGTTCTGTTACGAAAGCAACAAGCTATTGGCGGCAACAGGCAAACACAGGCAAACGCAGACAGAGGCAGACATAGACAGGCAGAAACAGACACAGACAGAAAGAGGCAGACAGACAGACAGACAGACAGACAGACAGACAGACAGACAGACAGACAAACAAACAAGCAGACATACCGACGGGCAGAGACACCAAGAGAGAGAGACTCGGGTAGGCAGGCAGGTAGGCGCAAGCAGTGCAGTTGCGCGAGGTTCGGTTTGGTTCAGGCTGCGAAGCGGGGAGGGCGCGCCCTCGTGCGTGCCTTTAATCTGAAGCAAGCAAGAGAGAGAGGGCACGTGCGATGCCACGAGGCCCCGATCCACTCACGAGGGGCAGTACTTATCGGGGCTCGCGAGCAAGCCATCGTCCGGTGGCAGAGAAATGGGTGGAGGTGGGAACTCTACCAAGCCAAACAACTGGAAGCCCTGGGCGGCTACACCTTCCACATACCCCCAGGAAAAGAGTGGCCGAGCGACGATAGAGACAAGGAATCACAAGACGAAACCAACAACGACAGGAGCAAGAAGTGGTGGCAGTGGCAGCCCGAGTGAGGACGTGCCTTCTCCGCATCCTGGAGCTCAGAAGCAAGAAAAGATCAGAACATATCAGAACGCAAACGTCAGGGCCTCGCTGCATGACAGCCGCCGAGGGCGGGACCAACCTCCGCGACCAGCGATGACCTCATCAAAAACCCTCGAGCAGATCCTCGATTACAGGAGGGGAGCACCCGCTTCCACTCGTGCTCGAGGGCCTGCAACTGGGGAGCAGTGCACCGCGGACAAAACCACGCGTACACGGAGCAAGCAGAAGAAGGTTGCTCAAACCGGCCAGCAGCACCTGGCCGCAGAAGCTGCAGACGGCCACGGCCAAGCGTGCACACCCGGAGAATTGGCACACCCCTCCTCCCCAATATAAGAACCCAAATCCGGGGGTTCAGTTTTTATATTGAGGGGGTTTGCGGCGTTTCCGGGCATGAGTCGGGTGACTGTAGACTGTAGCCCTGAGCCTTAAGAGCCCTACAGCCTCAAGCCTTAACCCCTAAGCCCTAAAGTCCTAAAGCCTTAAGCCCGAAACAACCCCTAAACCCTAAAGCTCTGGTCCTTTGGTTTAGTACTGCTGTAATCTTGGTTCAATTAAAACTCATACAATCCCTAGACCCCCTAATGCTTTAATTAACTTTCAGTTGTGGGCCTGAAACCGCGAATTTCCGGGGGCCGGCAGTTTTAATATAATGTTAGTGGGAAGCGATTGCTCTGCCGCGAACGGCGAACAGTACGGTGGGCCTGCGCGGCCCTCGAGTCCTGACCCGGCTCCTCTGCCCGAGCGAGGGAGAGAGAGAGAGAGGCCTGCAAAATCCCCCCCATGCCCGGCAGAAGAGAGGCCGTAGCGCAAAGCCACAGCGGAGCCCGATGAATGACAACTTTGAGCACTGTCCAACAACGCCAACATCGTTGCAAGACACCGAGCAGGCCGCGATGTGAGGTGCTGTCTACCGTGCAGGCCACGATACGCAATGCATGGGGACCAGCGCGGGGAGTATAGGGAAGAGGGTGCGTGGTCGCAAGACGAGGTGCGGCGCCGGTGGTGGGAGGGTTTGCTGCTTCCAAGACTCCGAGTCTTCGCGATAAGCGGGTATACATGGTGTGGTGCGGGGCCGGGCCGGTGGGGCGGGTCGCGATACGAGGTGCGAGTTGGAAGACAGCGCGGCAGTTGCGAGTCGGCGGTTGTATGTTACTAGGTTGCTAGATGTTTTGTGACGGTTTCGCGGCGTGGCCAGTGTGGTACTCGAGAAGGGGCGGCGAATCGGGGTCGCTCGAGACTCGAGCGCAAAGGCAAGTTCTTCCCTACAAAAGGTTTGTCCTAGTTGCTAGTAGCGCCCTCTGCTAAGGCAGAGATCGGGATGCTGATCTGACCGGCTGCACTTCCTGTGTCACGTCCGGCAAAGCTCCGCGTGTGGTATAGCGCCCGAAAAACCGACAACTCGCTGAAAGTGCAGCTTCAATTGTTCAGCTGACTGCCCATGGATGGAGTGTGAATGCACACAGCTTCAGCATCCAGTTTGCTTCGCCACAGCAGCAGCCGTTATGTTGCAGGAGGCTGCGTAGCGTTCATAGCAGGTCTTTCCTCCGAGATTTTGGCAGCCTTTGGCATGCCGATGTCCGGCCCCAGGCTCCTTCCAGCACTTGTGGTGCTGGCCGCCCCCCGCCTGTGGGCTGAGAGAGGTTCTTTAGATAGTGGTCACAGTCTTTCTCTCGATCAAGCAGTTGCGAATGGCTTCACCTACAACGACATCCTTGACGCATTGCAGGAGCTACAGCACGAGAAGCTCGCAGAGGAGACTCAGTCAGTCAGCCGAGTCAGCCGGCACGCATACGACACGTCGGACCCTGCTGGAGGTGTAGACCCAGTCCAAGACGAGGCAAGCACCACAGACGTCCTAGAGACGAGCGCAGCGACCACAACCGAGCAGGTTGCGGCACAGGCTGGCTCAGTTGCCGATACGAGTGGGCAGAGCGAGCAGAATGGGCAGGCTGCACAGGATAGTGTAAAGTTGAAGCAGCGCTTCTACAGTCACTTCCGGTCCAAGCAGGCGCGACTTCCCCGAAACTCACCTTCTTCTCGCATAGGCGGCCCATGCAACAGGTCGGCAACAGTAGGAGGGATTTGCTAATTTTACAAGAGGCTTCCAGCAAAACTTCGTTTCGGGCGTAGGGAATGGACAGGAAGAAGACAGCCGGCAGTTCGCAAAGTTCCCAGAGATGGTGGAAATCCTGGAGTCAAAGGCGAACCAGGTCATGACGAGGAGCAGACGATGGAAAAGCTTGCTGGAGAAAATCAACCAGGGCAACAGGAATTTCACAAATTTGATCAAGAAGTTCGGCTCGGCAGTCAAAGAGGACAATCTGGCCAAGGTACAGCGCGTCGTTACAGTGCTTAATGGTTCCGAGTCCACTGCGGCATCATCCAGTTCAACCTCTACTACAGTGACCCCGGCAGCTCAGACTGCCCCATCAGACCTTGGACTAGACGAGGATGAAGACGAAGATGACGAGGATGAAGACACACAAGAAGAGGAAGGAGAAGATGAAGACGAGTCTGACGAGCAAGCGGATCCCACTGTTGCGAATGCCAAGCAGGCACAGCAGACAGCACAAGCACTAGCACCGATTCGGCAAGTTACAACATCACAAGCGACTGACGAGAAGGACGACAGTGAAGTAGAGTCATCCACAACCGTTGTGGATGACACCACCCCCGCACCCGGTCGGCTGGGCATAGACGACAACAGTGTCGAGGACGATGATTCATGATCGGAACACCTTCCATGCCACCCGGCATGTTCTCAGCGCGGAGAAAAAACAGCTAGGATGCCGATGGTCGACACGTGACGCGAGGTTTCACTGAAAAAGCTATTCGTGCCACGCATATGCTAGTTCTCAGTCCCCACACGAGGGTAGAGAATGACAGTGGTGTCTTTCCATGCATGGCTGTTTGCGCTGAGATGGATTCTGTCTTCAACTGCAACAGCGTTTTGCACTCAAGCCGCGTGGCCTCCCGTTGCCTTGCACCCAAGCTGGCCGTCTCTGCAAGAAGCAGGACAGACGAGGCCACCACCTCTGCGCACAGCAGTGACACCTTCACATCTGTTGTCATCCCCCGGGAGGTCCATGGCCAACAGCGAGCTAGCTTATCTTGGTGGCATGTGCTCCGCGAGAACCCCAGATTTGAGAAATGTACTTGTGAATGTGAACTCCAACCATGGTTGGGGGCCTTCCCTTCTCACTTGTGCCCTCTGTTCGGTCTTCGGGTTGCAGGTGGCAGGATGTCGGAAGGCCAGCTAACCAAACAGGGCCACGATGAAAACAGGCTGGACTCTGCCTGCTTGCAGCAGGAAAGAAGTCATCTGACACACTGGAAATGTTCGCACCGGCCACACGGCCAGCGCCAGACATGAACAGAAACAAGGTGCCTAGTGTCCGTTCGGACAAACGCTTGAAAAGCGCACCGTTGCCACTCCACTTCTATGCGAGAGCTTCAGGCCGCCTTGAAGTCGTCAATGCTTTGCACCGAGGCGGGCATGGTGAGCTACTTCTGGATGCTACGATGCATCCTAGAGCTACGGCGTCTTCCTGGCAACGGTCTCCAGTGCTACGAGGAGCTGGGAAAGGCCGAAACTCACTGCTTTGCAGCTTCTGTCAAGGCTTGGCTTTCTGTGCGTGATATCCGTGCCAGCGGAGGAGACTTCGACCATGCTAGTTCTCTTCTTGGTGGTGAAGGCCCAGTGCTGCCAACCACCTCATTCAAGATGCATTGAGTTTTTGTCTGGTGCAAGAGTTGAGCAGAGTCGAGAGGCCGTGTTGTTGGTGCTCCACACGTTGATGCTATTGTTCGGATGGAATGATGCCAGCACCGGCTGGTACGTTGGCACTGGGGTTCTGCTTGCCGATGCTGGTGTCGCCCTCCGCCTGCACTGTGATTTCTGCGGGGCTGAGCCTGGAACCATGCCATGTTGTCGCATCAAGAGCTTTCCGCTCTGTTTACACTCAGATGGCTTTGGCCCTGTACCTGCGAAAATGGATCGCCCGACGAAAGGCGGCACTTCAGGCACCTCGACTGAACTAGTGATCTGAGTCCCATGGTCGCAGGTTCATGTCGGTCGGGACATCAAACAGAAAAAGCAGGATTCTTGGATAGAGGATAGAGGGCCTATATATTTGGCTCGAGGCTCGAGTTGGTCCGAACTGTCCTTACGGCTAGCTCTGTCAGACGGCACTTCCAGGTGTGGCGACGCGCCTCAGTTAGTCTTGTTTATTCAATAGTCAAGAACAGTTTCCGGCCTGGTGGTGGTCTCCTGTTTAGATCAACTCCACCGTTCGGAGTCTGGCTACACCTTCCTCAAATCATGTTCTCATTCTCAGTCTGCTACCTGTAGCATGCAAGGTGCTTCGACTTCCTTCCCTGTTGCCGTCACATAATCGTTGCCCTGAATGTGGAAATGCTGGTAGAGGTTGACAGGCAGACCCTGACTTCACCTGGCCCACTGGTTGTTGTCATCTTCAACAGCGCACGTCGATGGTCCGATTGTACGGGGGTTAGGGGCCCTCGTCGCTGCTCCCAACATAGCTTAGCTCCTTACTGACTCTTGGCTAATTGCTACGTTCCCACTTTGTGTCTGAAACTTTGACTTACATCCATCTATCGTTGTTGCTAGATCTAAGCGGCTCCCATACTGAATCTGTCCGGACGGACCTGCACGAAAGAGTCAGTACAGAACAGTCTACACAGTCTACAGCGAAACTTAATTCGCTCCCATGACCGGAACCGGAGGCAATTTTAGAAGTTGACTTCAGCAAGGCTCTAGGCTCGACCAAGGCACGGGTCCACGGCAACTGGCGGTCATACCTCCGGTCCTCTCCTTGTATGAGACACTTCGGCACTCCTTCAGGTGGAGGCCCAGCAGCTCCAGAATGACAAACGCAGCACGGCCTTGGAGCAGCTGCCCAGACACACGGCTGATCTGGCCTGGCCATTCCGGCATTCAGTTTGGTGCATGTGCATCATGCCGTGCTTTGGAGAAGTTTATCCCTCTCTGCAAGACTCAGGACTACAATATGCGGAGCTGCAAACTAAAGCAGAAGTCTCCGAAAGGACCAGCAGCGTACTTCTGCAAGTGTTCAGCATCCCAGCATTACTTTTTACCAGCGAAGGGTTGCAGGTCTGCACTGCTGTGCACCATAGCACTAGCCTAGTTTTCTGGCCTTGTATGTTGGTGTAAGTGCACTTGGCCATACCTGTAGGATGCCGCCCAATGCAGCTGCGAGTGAGATGATACTGCAGGACACGAGCATGCAGCGTGCTGGGGAATTGTTTTGCAGTCCAGCAGCGGCTGCAGTTAGGGTGTAACTGCAAACGGCCAGGATCAGTGCATAGTCTGCTTGAGCAACTTCGAACCCGACTGCACGGCAGCTCGGCGTGTCCACACTTGCGCGACTTCTGCTGCAGTGCTGCTTCGCATGGCATGTGTTGCCTGGTCCTTGTTTGAAGGTGCTACAGCTACCTTGTGGGCACGTTTTCCATGTCCCTGGGATTGATTGGCTGCAGCGACTGCAACAACGAAACGCTGCATCATGTCGCTGGTCTAAGGAGGACTGCATCGCAGACTGGTTCTTGGATGCGAAACATGATCCATGTCCGTTTCGTTGCCAGCAGACCGCAGCTGCTGACGGCCCTGCACCTCGACTTCAGATGACTGCATCTCACGTTTTTTGGCATGGAATGTTGGGAGCATTGACATGCTCCTGCAGTTCCCTCCCATGCTTCAGCCATGTCGACCGAAGACGACTACGCTTGATCTTTCCCGCGGGAGGCTTCAGGAAAGTGTTATGCAGCCAAGAGGGAAACCTCAAAAGGCGACTCAAAAGGCATTCGGGATCTCGATCCAGCAATGTGCAAAAGCTCCCTGGGACCAGCTCTGAAAGAAGGTCTCCCTGAGCACAGGGGAGAGCGCCTTTGCGTGTGCTTGGTGCCCTGCACATTCCAAGCCACCTCTCTCTCTCTCTCGCATAGCGACGCCACCGTTTTGGGTGGCCATCCCGGGATCGCTGCTCCGCCTCCTCCTGTGTCATTGAAAGGCATCGCTGTTATCCCAAATAGCCTGCAGACTAGAAATACACAAAGGAAAACCACGTGTAGTCGCAACTCACGAAAGCTTGCGTAGCGAGGCTTTCGTTTTTATCTGCGTAAGAGTGGGCGCCCAGAGGCCGGCCAGACCCCAAAAGACTTGATATGTATATATATATATATATATATCTCTCTCTCTCTCTCTCTCTCTCTATCTCTCTCGGGCAAAACCCCGCCCCTCCCCCCGCCCTCCTCACTCTGTCGCTGAGTTGCTAATTTGGGTGGGATGTGCTGGAGGTGGTGATGCCATCTTTGTTCGCCTACGTTGCTGACGCGGCGTGATTGCATGTGAGGATGCTTGGTGTCCACCTCGCCAGCTTTGTTTACCCTCAGTCACTGACGGCCCTGCGTTTGGATGTGATATTTGCTTGGAGCCCGGATCGCCAGCCCTGTTTCGCCTGCCGTCTGCAGCCTAGGCATAGGCTAGCTTTCGTTCCCCCCCGCGGCCCCGCAAGCATCACAAAGCTATTGCACTTCAGCCAAGCTGTCCGGACACCAGTTTGGGACACTAGTTCCAGCAGTAGAAGAGGAAGTTAAAGCATCGGCTGCAGCTGGTCCTCGATCGAAGCTGCTCAGCTACTAGTGACTAGTGCAACATGTGGAGTTGCACTGGAGGCTTCAGGAAACTGTTCTGCAACCGAGAGGGAAACCTCAAAAGGCGTTTTGGGCTCTCGATCTACCAATGTGCAAAAGCTCCCTTCGAGCTACTCTGAAAGAATACGCTCTGGGGGGTCTTGGCTTTGCCGCCGATGGCTCATATCGGACCGACTCTCAAGAACGAGGGGCCCCGCTGTGAAGATCAACAGTTCACACAGCCAAGTGGTATGACTGTTGCAGATTCCGATTTCATCAGCCGCCACTTCAGGCTGCACTGTCATTCACCAACCTCGCATGGTGCCGTAAGGGCTTTTCGCTCAAGTCGAATTTCATGTCTTGCTCAAACTTGCATTTGGAAATGTGCAGGTATTTCCGAACGAGCAGGTCTTCCCGAACCACGTTCTCGATCTTGATCTTGAAGCAGCTGTCGAAAGCCCCACGTCCGAGCCGTTTCATGGCAATAGATTTCTCAAGTTCTGTACTTTTCGATAGCCTCGCATGCAACAGCCAATCTGTCCGAAGCGCTCTCGGTTTCAAGGCTCGCGGATGAAGCTCTGCCAGTTCACCCAGTCCATGAGTCACTATGAAGTGATTTGCGTCCTGAGCTTCTGCGGGAGCGCAGGCACTGTGCGGCCAGGGTAGCAACGTCTCGGCAAGTTTAGAGGCTAAGCGGGTAGCTGTACCAACAGCATAGATCTGATGAAATCCCGGCGGCAGTGGGTCACACAACGACCGCCTTGGGAATGCACTTGGCATTGCCCGGTGCGGACGAAAGTGGAAGCCCTCGGGGTTTCGAATTCTGGCTTGCTCAAGCCATCGTTCCGGCAGACGTGTCGTTTCTTGGTTGTGGGCTCGCTTGCACAACTGTTTTACATTTTACATTCTCTACCCATGCAGGTGCAAATCCTCGCAGAGTGCGCATCTGGCTGTGACTTCATCCGTTTACGTCTTGCGTTCTTCAATAAGCAAGTGTTCGTACTTGTCGCAACCAGGAATAAGCCGATGCAGCGAAAAAACTCTTTCCCCAGGGGCAGAGAATTTAGGTAGGTTTCGCCCATCTCACTTTCCGGCCCGGAGCGTCACGGTGACAATGCAAAGCGCAGTCTCTTTTGCTACGCAGCCTAGGCTTGTTTCTATCTGAGTGAATCTTGCAGGATTCACGTCTCCGTGCTGCTGGTCAAGGGACTTTGTGTCCGCAGGTAATGTACTTGGAGCAATCAGCTGGTCTTCACAAAGTCAGCCGCCTTTGATGCTCCGTGTGCCCATGCCGCCCTGCAAACTGCATTACTTCGACAATTAAATACGATCCATGTCGACTGCATCTGCCTTCCATAAACATACATGCCTCTTGCAGGGCTGCTGTGGCGGACTTCGTCTTTTCTATGCTTGTGTAGGCCTTTTTTTTGGTGGCGAGGGCGGCCTTAGCCACTGCTGCCTTGGACCCGACACAAAGAGGGCCAAGACAGAGGACTCCAGCTTGAAGGAGACCTCGCTCGGAGGAGGACCAGACAAGGGGTCCTATTGCAAAGGGCACGAGCCTCAAGCAGTTCACAATGAAGCAACACTAGAGAGCGAAAGGGGCTGTTCCTCTAAGCGACTCTGTGCTGACTGCTCGGCCGTGCCTTACTGGCAGCACCTGGTTCCCATGTTAGATGCCGTCAGCAGGTAATTATCTCGCTGCCTTCATCACTTCTGACAGAAGGCTGCCGGGTGCGTCAAAGATGCTTCTACCCAAACTCGCGCGGTTCGAGCGAGCCTCTCGCGGCGGGAAACCCATAGGCTTTCTCCGTGCGTTGGAGCGACCAGGCCTCAAGCCCCGTGCGGTCACTTGTAGATACCCGCTTAA